CTTTTATATTTTTGTTGTCACAAATTATCCCTCTTTATGCTTTAAGTTTTTGGTGATCTTACTCTTACTGTTGTGACCTTATGTTCTTTGTTTCGGGTAGAATTACTCCCTTAAGTATTACCTGCAATGGAAGTTTTCTGGTGATAAAAATCCATCAGTTTCTGTATGTGTGGGAATGTCTTTATTTCTCCTTCATATTTATTTAAAGTATAATTTTGATGGATATATTATTCGTGACTGGTAATTTATCTCTTTCAGACATTTGAATATTTGGTTCTACTCTCGTCTGGCTTGTAGAATTTCTGCTGAGAAATCAGATGAACTTCTGATGTGTTTTCCTTTGTAGATCCCTTCCTTCTTTTCCCTGGCTGCTTTGAGATTTTTTTTTTTTTTGACAGCTTTAATACCCAGTGCCTTGGAGAGGGCCTCTTTGGATTGAGGTAACTAGGTGTTCTGTTTGCTTCTTGGATTTGTGGATTTAGTTCTTTCCATAAGTTTGGAAATTTCTCATCAACTATTTGTTTTAATAGACTCTCCATTCCATGCCCCCTCTCCTTCTCTTCCGGAATGCCTATAATTTTAATATTGCTTTTTCTGATGGAGTTAGATAGTTGTCATAAAGCTCTTTCAGTTTTCTTTATGCTCAGGTCTCTCTCTTCTTCCCTCTGCATCATTTCTAGATTCCTATATTTGACACCACTAATTCTTTCCTTCATCTGGTTGGCTCTGTTTTCTGTGCTTAGTAGTTCATTCTTAATCTTCTTAATTGCATGCTTCATTTCTAGGGTTTCTATTTGGTTCTTTTTTAAAGTTTCAATCTTTTTAGTATAGTACTTACTTTGTTCATTGATTTGTTTTCTGAGGGCATTGAATTTCCTGTCAGTAGTTTCTCGTATCTCATCTAGTATTTTCAGAACTGCAATCTTGAAATCTCTGTCATTTATATCACATATTTCTATCTGGTCCAGCTTACTTTCTGGATATTTTTCATTTTCTTTCTGGTCACCTCGTTACTGTGGTTATTCATGGCATTTGCTGTCCTCCTTTGCCTATACATTTATCTCTAAAGAGGTCTTTCTACTTTTTCTAGTAGATGGTGCTGAGTTGCCAGATTTTTTACCTCTGTGATCTCCCAGTCATGAACTTCTGCTGCTTCCCTAAGATAGTACAGCTGTGCTGCTTGGGGGTTGGTTTTAGTTTGCTCTCACCATAATGGTGACCCCTGACCTCCATGAGTCCTGCCCCAAACACTCCAACTGGGGGTCAACCACAGCAGAATACAGCAGTTCTATTGCAATAGCTCTTGGTTTACAGATAATATACTCCTAATCCAACTCCAAAGGCGAAGGCTGAGTTTGGGGATTCCATGCGGCGGCAGGCCTCTGTGGTTCCATTTCTTTGTCTGAAACATGACCGCCAGCCTAGTGGTGGAGAGTCACACAGCAGAACCCTGTGCTCTGTCAGGAGCCTGCTGATTCAGACACTTTTCGCTTCCTCGCTGCTTAGTCTCTCAGGGGTCTGCTGGTTCAGACACTGTTCGCTTCCTTGCTGCTCACCCTGGTAGGCTACCCGTGCCCCCTGCCTCTGTTCCTGCTACTGCCAGCTTCCTCCACTATCCCAGCTGGCCAAGCTAGGAGCTCCCGGCTGCAGGGCTGCACCTGGAGACCATCTGCACTTTTCTCCCTTCTCGTCTTCCCCTTTACCCACCTTTATATGTTTCAATGTGCAGGTACTTCAGGCATGCATCTGTGTTGAGCAGGGATGACTTTGTTGAATTATAGTTGGTTAAGTTGTTGAAATTTCAAGGGGAGAAGACAAAGGGCTCTTTCATGCCGCCATTCCTCTGACATCACCTTTTGAGTGACATCTTAAAGGCATTATTTTTAAAGCTGGCATTAAATCTTAAGCTTTATTAGATCTCATTAAGTGTACATACATTTTGATATATATATTAATGTTTGTGAAATTATTATGACTACTGAGGGATCATTGAATCTCAAGTATTTTTAAAGAAATGAGTTATTTGAAGCATCCTTTTTACTACAATTATAGAATTAAGACTTGGCAATATAATATCTAAAACATGGGCTTATATCAGTTGTGTAGTATATTAGGCTAAAAGTAATGAAGTAACATGCCATAATTTAGTCAGTGGAGTTGGATTTGTTTCAAAAAAACAAATGCCAGTTTTGTTTGTTCTGCCCAGTGCTTGACTAATATAATGAATAGTTTATAAAAAATCACCTAATAATTGATTAACAAATTCTTTACTGGCCTCATGAATACTCAGACTAATGGTTTAGATTGATTTTGAAATTCCCTTTTTCTTTGAAGTAAAGCTAATTTTTAAAAATTTTATTTTCCTTCCTTATTATAGATGTAACATTTAAATTTTTAATATTTATTTAGTTATACTCACTTAACGGTATCTCAGTATAGAAAATAGCAAAATCTTTTGCATTTAACCATATGGTTAAATTTAAAACATGCTAATTAAGCCCACCTGGTATGGTTCAGGGGTTGAGTGTTGACCTATGAACCAGGAGGTCACTGTTCGATTCACAGTCAGGGCATGTGCCTGAGTTACGAGCTAGATTCCCAGTGTGGGGCGTGCAGGAGGCAGCCAATCAATGATTCTCTCTCATCATTGATGTTTTTATCTCTCCTTCTCCCTTCTTCTCTGAAATCAATAAAAATATATTTTTTAAAAAGCCTACTAGTTAATACTATTGAAATTGTTTTTGGTTCTCTGATATTGATTATGAGAGACGTTGAAAGATGAAATCAATCCTTCACATGAATGCTGGCAATAACCATCATCCTTACTTTTTGAGAAAGACATATCTTAGATAAATCTAGACTGTTGGAATTACAGAGGGATCTTATAATTTTTCTCTTTTGGTGGAAATGCATAATCAGTATTTTTATTTTTTCATTGATGAGGAAGTCCAGTGATCTAGTTTCTTCTTAATAATTACCTGGCCTTATAGGGCTTCAGTCCCTTATCCAAAACCCTTGGGGCCTGTTAGCTTCTGTTATTCAGATTTTAAAATATGTACTTTAGATTAAACAGAAACAAAACAAAACCTAATAGACACGAATAACAGTATGGTGATTATCATAGGGAAAGGGGGCCGGAGGGAGATAGAAAAGGGTAAAGGAAGAATAAATGGTGATAGGAGACTTGACTTTGGGTGGTGAACACGCAATACAATATACAGATGATCTTTTACAGAATTTCACACTTCAAACCTATATGTTTTCATTAACCAACTAGAGGCTTGATGCACAAAATTCATGCAAGAGTTGGCCTTCCTTTCCCCGGCTGCTGGCACTGGCTTCTCTCTGGCATTCGGGACCTGGGCTTCCCCCTGGCACCCAGGGCCCGGGCTTCCCTCCAGTCACTGGCAGGCACCAGGGACCTGGGCTTCCCTCCGGCCATTGGCAGGCACCCGGGACCTGGGCTTCCCTCGCAGCCCTGGCTTTGTCCAGTCTAATTAGCATATTACACTTTTATTGTTATAGATATCACCTCAATAAATTCAATAAAAATATGTATTTTAGAAAGTACTACTGTATAGATGCTGATATGCTATATATGATATAACATTCTTAACAGGGTCTGAGGAGGCAGTCTTTAGTTGAACATATTAATATTTCCGCCATCAGATGTATGAATATTCACCTTAAGTGAGAGAAAGGTAGAAAGAAGAGCCTTATATCCATTTAGGTCAGGTTTTGTTGCTAAACCAGTTATGAAAAAACTTAGGATTCCAGAGTTTTTTGAATTTTGAATTTCAGATAATCAATTGTGAGCCTGTAATATGTTACGTATTAAAACATTAATATGTATGCTTTTTACAAGTAATTTAAAATATAATAAAATTATATCTTTATTTGGTGGTTATCAATTTTTCCACTTTTACCTTTCATTTCATCCTCTAAAATATTTTCTTTGTACAGCTGCTGTATTCTCGAGGATTGCTTATTGATCTTCTAATCAAATCTAATGTCAGTCACTATGCAGAGTTCAAAAATATTACCAGGATTCTTGCATTTCGAGAAGGAAGAGTGGAACAGGTACTGTGCTGATCAAGTATTGTAACTGGATATGAGCTTAATTTATTATGGTTTGCTTTGGAAGGATGAGCAAAGTAAGATTATTTTCCTAGTAAAGCAGAAAATCTCAGTCTTGGATGATGATTTACAAATGTAAATATTAACAAATTGCTCAATTAAAATGTGTTAATTTTTTCACGAGATCTTCTGTAACTTGATCTTGGTGTTGAGAAAGTGTTAATTTTGGGCAACATTGCTAGATTTGAGATGTCTTTTGTTCCCAGTTAGGGGTGACATGCCATTGGCCTCCCCCCCTCCTACCCCCCCACTCCCCTGCAGTGGTTGAAATATTTTATTGCACCTTTGGTGACTGGTTGTGGGGAGCAGTCCCTCCACCTAGGGTAGCACCCTACAGAGGAGACCATCTCAGTCCTTGTACCCCAGGAGCCAGACTGGACTGAGCCCCCAGGGTATCCTATGGAAAATGGCACAGCATAATTACCAATAAAATAATCATAATAAAAATAAAAAGTCTCACCCTACCTGGTTTGGCTCAGTAGATAGAGTGTCAGCCTATGGACTGAAGGGTCCTGGGTTTGATTCCAGTCAAGGGCACATGCCTGGGTTGTGGGCTCGATCCCCAGTGGGGGTGTGTGCAGGAGGCAACCGATCCATGATTCTCTCTCATCATTGATATTTCTGTCTCTCTCTTCCTCTCCCTTCCTCTCTGAAATCAATGAAAATATATTTTTTTAAAAAGTCTCTGTTTTGACTACTCTTCAGGTTTCCCACTGGAAGTGTGCAAAGCTATTGAAGTACATATTCAGAGTTTTGTCTTAGCCTTAAATAGTGCCTGTCCACTTTCCTCTGATAGATTTCTCAATTCAGCACATGCAAAGGGGCTGGCTTGTTCTTTTGATTTCCTTCACAAGGTCTTCTCTTCAGACATCGATTTTGATCCCTGCATCCCACAGCTCTGAGACAAGCTTCAGTCTCTCCTCTAGTAGCTCTTCTGTATAGATGCCACAAGCACCTGTGTCTCTTTGGTCCATACCTTCTTCTCCAAGGCCTGTAGCCTCTGCTTCACGGTAGAGAAGATCCACTCCACTCCAATGCTGAGCCCCACACATGGCAACTTGTGCCCTTTGGGGTCAGACATGCCCACTAGACCATCATAGCGCCCTCCAGCCGCCACACTGCACATACCGAGGGGCTCTTCCCCTGCCTGGGCTGGGGTCTGTAGCAGCACTGCCTCATGGATCACCCCAGTATAGTAGTCCAGCCCCCGAGCAAGGCTCAGGTCGAAGGAGGTCGTGTCAGCAGTGCCAAGCAGGGTCAAGTACTCAAACAGCAGCTTCAGGTCCCCCAGGCCTTCCAAGGCCTGCTTGGTTTTGGACAGTTTAGGATCCTGGAGCAGCTGTTCCACCAGAGATACCCCACCATGCTGCTGGATGAAGTCCCCAGTGCGGCCAGCCACCTCAGCTGTGAGGCCCTTCTCTCCCACCATCTCATTCTTTACTTCCTCCCAGGACACCTTGTCTAGCCTGTCCGCTGATGAGCAGATGGTGTGGAATTTGCTCTTAGGAACCCCATAGATTGTAAACTTCCCAGCTAGGATGTGCTGATCATTCACCTTGACCAGAAAGTCACCTATCTGAAGTGAATTCAGGATCTCACACATGATCTTTAGGCACTCTGCATCAGGAATCATGGAGTCAAATTGCTCAGCAATGTCAAAATCCTACAAGGAGAGAGGTAGTTAGAGGTCCTTGGGAGTTTCTTCAGTGGGGATTCCTGGGAGCTCTTCTCTCTCTGAAGGCCAGTTTGCACTTATGCATAGATCATCAGCCCAGAGGAAAACCCCAGCATTCTTGGGTCTGTTACTATTTCTGGTTTCCTTTCCATCTATTGGGCTATTCCAGTGGTCGGCAAACTGTGGCTCGCGAGCCACATGTGGCTCTTTGGCCCCTTGAGTGTGGCCACGAAGTTTCAATCGCACTGTACGTGCATGCCCGCACATGGTATTTTGTGGAAGAGCCACACTCAAGGGGCCGTAGTTTGCCGACCACTGGGCTATTCCTTCATCATCGCACTCATCTACTTTTCCTATTTCCTCCTACCACTGGTGGGGAGGAGGGGGGAAGAGAGGCAACTATACAACCACCATTGGCCTTTTAATGACATAAGGAATAACTTGATAAATTAAGTGTGAGAGCTCACAAGTTAATTAGCTCTGGAGTCCACAGAGATTTTATTAGAACTGATGGAAGGTAATGTGACACAGCCTGGCTAGAATGGAAATAATCTTGTTATACTTAAATGAAAAAAAAAAGTTTTTTGGAATACTTGTTTATCACTAGGAAGCAGTTTCTTAACTTAAAAAATCATGTGTTTCAGGTTCCTTGTTCGAGAGCAGATGTCTTTAATAGTAAACAACTTACTATGGTAGAAAAGCGAATGCTAATGAAGTTTCTTACATTTTGTATGGAGTATGAGAAACATCCTGATGAATATAAAGGTATTGTGTTCATTTAATTGTGTTCTATAATTATTTAAGCTTTCTTATTATTTTAATATGTTTACTCTAATGTAGTGAACCAATTATTACTCTTTTAAAATACATTCTTACTGTGCACTATCCATTAGGTTAGCCACTAGCAACATGTAGCTATTAAAATTAATAAAATGTAAAATTCAATTCTTCAGTCACACTAGCCATATTTCAAGTATCCAATCGCCAAATGTAGTTAGTAGCTATTGTGGCTACAGTGCAGGTATAGAATATTTTTATCGTTGAAGAAACGGTGTGCTGTGTGTTAATTTTTATTCTTGTTAATTAAATATTGTTGACAACTGGTTCTTCATAGATGATACAGTAGTCCCCCCTTATTCACAGGGCATGTGTTCCAAGACCCCAAGTGGATGCCTGAAACTGCAGATATTACCGAACACTATGTACACTAGGTTTTTCCTATACATACATACACTTTGTGGCTTCTCTTTGATTACGAATTGCCAGTGTCACTGCTCTTATTAAGTACTAGAGGCCTGGTGCATGAAATTCGTGCACTCAGAGGGGGGGTCCCTCAGCCTGGCCTGTGCCCTCTCGCAGTCTGGGAGCCCTCAGGGGATGTCCGAATGACAGCTTAGGCCTAAGCTGGCAGTCAGACATCCTTAGCGCTGCCGTGGAGGCGAGAGAGGCTCCTGTCACTGCCCCTGCACCCACCAGCCGTGAGCCCGGCTCAGGGTTTCTGGCTGAGGGGTGCTCCCTCTGTGGGAGTGCACTGACCACCAGGGGGCAGCTTCTGCGCTGAGTGTCTGCTCCCTGGTGGTCAGTGTGCATCATAGTGACCAGTCTTTCTGTCGTTCGGTTGATTTGCATATTAACCTTTTATTATATAGGATAATAAGAGTTACTTGAACACAGGCACTGTGATACTGAGATATTTGATCTGATAACTGAGATGGCTACTGAATAAATAACTCACAGTATATACAGTGTGGATATGCTGAACAAAGGGGCTGATTCCTGTCCAGAGTGGAATGGGGTGGGGCGGATCAGGATAGCACAAGCTTTCATCATGCTACTGAAACCTGTGCAATTTAAAATTTATGAATTGTTTATTTCTAGAATTTTACATTTAATATTTTCGGGACTATGGTTGATTGTGGGTAACTGAAAACATGGAAAACGTATCCATGGATAAGGAAGAGAATACTGTATTCTTTTGCATTGTTCCATTCATGTTTTTCATCAGTAATAGAAAAATTATAGTTTTTCATTTTTACAGGATTACTGTGCTTAGAATATTGAATTATTTATTTTGATTCTTTTTTTTTTAAAGCCTAGATGACATGGTGGAAATCACTGGATTAAGAGAATATGTGGTTTCTGGTCTTGGCTTTGACCCATCTCACTGTGTGATCTCGGGCCAGTTACTTTACAGTTTGTTGAAAATTGAATGTGTCACTTTAGTGACAGAGCTTTATACTTGAAGGGCATTGGAATAGAAAATTTTCCAAAGTAAACATACTATTGACAATTCATCTATAAAGTTATAATGAGAACTACAGCAGTATTTTTTAATAAATATGCAGATGAGTTGAACACTTGAAAACCTGTGTGGTTTTGTGAACCAATGTCACCTCAGTAAATTCAATTTTTTTTGAAGTATAGCTTTTGCTCTTACAGCTTCAAGTCCATTGGATACAGCCAAATTGTTCTCATAGTGGTGTAAACATACTCTCTCAGTAAATGTTTATAATTTTTGTTTACATAAATAATTTCTAATAAAGTTTTTTTGTGTTTGGAATTGTATTTTCCAAGACTAACAGTCCAATTACATCTTTCCTGTTCTTGGTTTAACAGGGTTGGGGAACCTTTTTTCTGCCAACGGTCATTTGGATATTTATAACACCATTCAAGGGCCATACAAAATTATCAACTTAAAAATTAGCCTGCTATATTTGGTCAAACATTTAATTAACTCACCCCTAATGCCTTGGCAGGGCCAGACCAAATGATTTCGCCATCCTTATACAGCCTGTGGGCTGGACATTCTCCACCCCTGGTTTAAAGAAAGTTTTCAGTGGTTTCTTATCTTTTGTGGTGTGATTATAAGGCAGTATGATCGATTCCACTAGCCATAAGGAAATTAAATTTCATTACTTTTTATTAAGTTCATTGTTCCTAGATTTAATAACAATATGTATATTTCAAAAAAAACCAAGTATTGCTCTTATTATTTTCATCAAAAACTTGCCTTTTGTTATATTTAATATTTCAAAATACAATTATTGGTATTATTCTGCAGTTTTATCTTCTAATTGAATTTATTGGGGGTAACATTGGTTCACAAAATCATACAGGTTTCAGATGTATATAGCTCAACAACATATCTACAAACTGCATCATGCGTCCATCGCTCCAAGCATAATCTCTTCTGTTCCCATTCCCGCCCCCTTTTCCCACCTCCATCTATACTCTACTCCACTTTCCCTCTCGCTATCTTCACACTGTTGTCTGTGTCTATGTGGTTTTTTTTTTTTTTATAAATGTGTGTGTTTTTCTGCTGTTTTAATGATAAAGTAAGGCTACTACCAACCTCAGAAAGCAATTGTGATGGTTAGTGAGTTATTTAATGCTTTTCTACTTTTTGAATCTATAAAATACTAAACAAAGGTTCATCATTTAAAGTTTAAAAATTGTGCCATCAATCCAGTTGAGATTTCTAGTGGTCCCCCCCCCCCAAAAAAAAATCACTGGTCTTTGTCCAAAATGTAATGTTATTGCCACCCATGTCCTTTGACAAGTGTTTTAGAGAGACTTGATCTCATTTTTTGTGTAATAGTCTTAAATTGAAGTTTAGTTCTGATTTTAACTGATAAATTTTCATATTTGTTTTCATAGCCTATGAGGACATTACATTTTCTGAATATTTAAAAACTCAAAAATTAACTCCCAACCTCCAACATTTTGTTCTGCATTCAATTGCAATGACATCAAAGACAACCAGCAGTACCATAGATGGTCTCAAAGCTACCAGAAAGTTTCTTCACTGTCTTGGGCGGTATGGCAACACTCCTTTTTTATTTCCTTTATATGGCCAAGGGGAACTCCCTCAGTGTTTCTGCAGGTAAGACTGCCATTGGTTCTTTTGTTTGTTGTTAAGGTGATACTTGAATAAAGGATGAAAATTAGAAAGACAAAAATGAGATTTACTCAAGATTTAGTATTTTCAAACTTATACTTTGTTGTTCTACTCTCTTTATAAACATTCATCCTGCATACCTACTTAATACCTAAATGATATATTCAGTTTGGTCTGTTTTTGAGCTTTAAAGATAGAATCATACAGTACATTTCTTTTTCCACTCAGTATTATGTTTCAAAGTATCATTCTTGTGTATAATTATAGTAAATTTATTTTCATTGCTATGCATTGTGAATTATATATTGTAAATATAGCACAATTTATTTTTCCATTTTTGTATTGAAGGACACCAGATGTTTCAAGCTTTTTGCTTTTATTAACATCCTTGTATGTGTTTCAGGATATACATAGTGAAGAGTTTCTCTAGGATACATGCCTAGGAGTGGAATTCCTGAGGCATGGGATAGATATATGAATGTTCATTCATGATAATGCACAGTTATTTCTCCAGAGAGTTGTATCAGTTTACATTCCCCTAACAGTATGTCAGAATTCCCACAGCTCTGCATCTTTGCCAATATTTGGTATTATCAGACTTTCTAATTTTTGTCAATTTACCTCACATAAAATACCATCACATTGTATGTTTTTAAATTTTATTTTTCAATTACAGTTTACATTCAATATTATTTTATATCAATTTTGGGTAGATAGCATAGTGTTTAGGCAATCATATACTTTACAAAGTGATAAATTGGTAATTATATCACATTGTGTTTTTATTTTGCATTATCCAGATTACTTATGAATGTCTTCTCATATGGTCATTGGTTATTTGTATTCTCTTCTGGGAAATGCTTTTTAGTGTCTTTTGCCCATTTGTCTTTTGGGTTGTCTTTTTCTTACTGATTTGTTGAAGTTTAATATATTTTGAACACTAATCTTTTCTCAGTTATATGTGTCATGTATATCTTGCCTTATAGTATTTATGATGCATAGATACCAGTAAGATTAATGTAGTCAGCCCTAGCCAGTTTGGCTCAGTGGATAGAGCATTGGCCTGTGGACTGGAGGGTCCCAGATTTGATTCTGGTCGGGGGTACATTCCCAGGTTGTGGGCTCTATCCCCAGTAGGGGGTGTGCAGGAGGCAGCCAATCAGTGATTCTCTCTCATCATTGATGTTTTTATTTCTCTCTCCCTCTCCCTTCCTCTCTGAAATCAATAAAAATATATATTTTTAAAAAAGATTA